GATCACACTTTTAGTTTTAAGACACTCTTGAGAGTGTGTGCATTAGTGATATCATTCCATAAGAAACATTTAATTTATTACGGAAAACGGAAATCGGATAAACTATCGAGAAGAAATGCCAAGTAACGAGGACGAATGAAGGGTAGTTTGGTCATTTTAAGAGTAGAAAGATATCCAAAAAAAGTGATGAGCATATTCTTGCTTTGATCAGATCTCTTCGTTTGGCAATTCCAATGGCGTCCTGCGTTCCTCACCTCTCTCTCTCTGGTAATCGCTTCCCTTTCTCTGAATTTTGAATTGCTCGGATTTACTAGTATTTCATCTTCGAGGAGGAAAAGATTCATGCGATTGTTATTTTGATCAATTAGCTTGTTTTTCACTTCAAGATCAGAATCAATTCCTTGTTTGATTTGTAACAAACTTTTAAGGGATTCATGTCAAATAAGAAAACATGGCAAGCTTATTGAATCTGTGGCTACAGGTGGGTCTCAATCCCATCATGTGAAAGCAAATGGATTGTCTTCCACAAAGCTCAATCCGGTTTGTAAAACCTCTGCATTGACTATTCAGAAGAAATCAAACCGGATTCACAAGTTTTCCGTTTCTGCTGGGTACCGGTATGCATGCCTGTGTCCCTATATCGTTTTTCTTCTTGTAAAGGAAATTCTTGAAAACATGAATGATTTTCAGAAACGGGAGTAGAAGCGGAAGCGGTGGTGATTTCATAGCTGGTTTTCTTCTAGGTGGTGCTTTGTTTGGCACTGTTGGATACATCTTTGCTCCACAGGTATCTTACTATGGGAAATTCAGAATAGCTCTTGTCCTTGTGTTACTTAGCGGTTACTATTTCTATTGAAATGATGAGTTGATTGGGTTTTTGGTTCTTCGGAATGAGATCAAGGATGATGATAGTTTAAGAAAATGGACAGAATTTTCGATATCTCGTCACTGTTTCTGATTGTCTATTGAGAGGTGGGATGATCTTCTTGATATCGTTCTCATGCAATCTAGCTAAAGATTTTTTTTCTCTGGGGTTGGTGATTCAGATCCGAAGATCGATTCTGAATGAGGATGAGGATGAGTATGGTTTCAACAAGCCAAAACAGCCAACGTATTACGATGAAGGTTTAGAGAAAACAAGAGAGACACTGAATGAGAAAATCGGACAGCTTAATTCCGCTATTGACAATGTCTCTTCGCGTCTAAGAGGTCGAGAGAAGAACAGTTCTGCGTCCAATGTACCGGCCAAAACTGACCCAGAAGTTGAAGCTACGACTTGAAGAACAAACAGTTTTTTTTTTCCTTCTTTTTATGTGTTTCATTAGTATAACCATAAGGTTTGATTTGGTGCTTCAGTGTTTCTCTTTTTGTTGCTTTGTGGTCAGTCCTCTGTAAAATTCTTGCAAAGTGAAATATACAGTCCTTTTTTTTTTTTGTTGGTGAATGTGAATTCTAATTTGGATTTTACACATTTGAGACTGAGTTAATCGAATTGCTAAACTAACACTGCCTAAATTTTAATTTTTGTATTACAACATTTGTGTGAAGATTGAATTTCTTATCCTTTGCTATGGAACCCAATTTTCCAATAATTTTTGTATATTTACAAAAACTTGGATAAGATTTGTAAATACTCCGAAAAATACAAGAACAGTACAAATTT